GCTAGCTTCGAGCGGCTAGCTTCGTTCTGCAAGCCTGCGGCGCTAGCTTCGAGCGGCTAGCTTCGTTCTAAAGCATGCGGCGCCAGCTTGAGCGGCTAGCTTTCGTTCTAGCGCCTGGCGGTGCTTAGCTTGAGCGGCTAGCTTTCGTCCTGTAACTCTATGGCGCTAGCTTGAGCGGTTTGCTTCGAGATAAAAGCCTGCGGCGCTCGCTTGAGCGGCTAGCTTCGTTCTAGAAGCCGCGGCGCTAGCTTGAGCGGCTAGCTTCTGTTCTGGTATGCCGCGCTAGTTTGAGCGGCTAGCTTGGTTCTAAGCCTGGCGGTGCTAGCTTCGAGCGGCTAGCTTCGTTCTAAAGGTTCGCGGCGCTAGCTTTCGAGCGGCTAGCTTCGTTCTGTTTTCGGCGCTAGCTTGAGCGGCTAGTTTGCTCTGGAACCACGGCGGCGCTAGCTTGAGCGGGTAGCTTCATTCCATAGGCTGCGGCTTGAGGACTAAGTCCATAATAACGTCCCCGTCAGACGGAAATCCACTCCAAAACGCACTTCCGAGCAAAAAAGCAAAACAATTACGATATCCCGAGTGACTCAAACCTCCGACGGCTTAGATTAGCACGGCGAAACGCTAACCACTACAGGGACATGCAATGCTTGGCAGCATACCTCAAACACCCCCGCTCAAGGGACTGCCCGGGGCAGGGTAAGGAAAGGCATCGAGAGGCAGATCCAAAGAGATCGACCAAACTCGTGAGTGCAACTGGCAAGAATGTGAGGAAATTTGTATTTTTTTCTCATTATACAAATTAGCCCTCCCGACCCCCCAAAATCAATAAACCGGCCTTAACTTTGTAAACTTGTATTTTATCGGGACTTCTGAAAGCGCCATCGGAAAGAGGAGGGTCGATTCCTCCGGGTGACGGAGAATTAGGGCATTTTGTACACGGAAAGACACTCAAATCGGGCCTCGAAAGTGACATCCACACACACACACACACACACAGAGATACACTCCAAAATTATATAAGGTAGGAGATAGTAGGGGTTATAGTTTGGTAAAGTATGTTACGATGAAGAACAATAGTAAAAGACCATTTAGAAACATCATACAATACTATTATTTTGGAAAAATAGGATCCTAAGAAAAAACTTGCTCCCCCCCCGATAATCTCGAAAAGAACGCACTAAAAACGATAAGCATCCATTCTTTTGCATGCGGAAAATGGAAACTCAGGGTGACCCAAAGCCGACGGCATATTAAGATAACGCCGGTGTGGTGGTAAATGCGGGGCGTGTCCCCGCTAAGTCGCGCGGAATGCGGTAGTCTTGATCGCAGTAGCTCCCCGTTTTTTGGGGGCGCTAAACGACAGGGATAACTGTAAAGGTTAATATCGGCATGCTTGGATTTTCTGCCATAAACTAGACTCACAACGTGGAGGACCAGCTATCAAAAATGAAGCGGGGCCTGTCGGGGCAGGAAATCTGGGGAGTTGCTGCAAGACGCTGAGTTTCAAAAGACCTTTGAGCAGGCGATGAAGTTACTCCGTATAAATAACTATGATCGAAAAAGCTCGCGGGTTCCAAAGTCAAAAGGATGCTGAATCCTTGGCTTTGTTTATTTTTCGCTTTTGGTTTCATCGGCTTGATAAGGCGCAATGCCCGTCGGGCTATGATTATCTGACTCGTCTCCGGGCGAAAGGGAGTGCATCGATATCAAAATCGGGTAGGCAATATAGGGTACTAGTGACGCAATAAGCGTTCGTAGATTGCTGCGGACCATTTTCCAGATCAATCGTACCTTTCTCGCATCGGCGGAATCGTCATGTCAGGCACCCGGTGGTCATCATTCCGCTTCGATCCCATTCTGATAATCGAAAATGGTCTCATTGGTGCTTAGTGCGTGAAGGCGGCGTGTGTGAGCCAGTAAATTTTCCGGTCCTTCAAGCCTTCAGCGCAAGGGCCTAATTTTTTTTTCTTGCTAGCTCGGTCCATGTTGGCCTTAAAAAATACAAACAGATATACTTTTCACGCGTTATATTAAATACAGCCTCAAAAGAATTCATGAGGCTTAAAAGGAAAAGGTAATCTAATTAAAACTTTTTTAATTTTTTCTAGCTTTCTCTTAACTTTAAATTTTTCTCAAATGTAATTTTCAACCTAATTTTTATAATTTTAGTGACGAGTTCCGGCCTTGTCCGGCTGGGCCTGATCGCGTGCCCCACGCCCACTTCAACGTCGTGAGCTGGAAAGACTGGCTCTTTCTTACGACTACCAGAATTAAATCATACGGCAGTGAGCGATGCATTTTTTTTGTGTTATAAATCGTCAACCCAGCATCCCCTGTCGGACGGCCTATGCGCGGCAATGAACGTTCCAAATCAACAGTGGTACCTCACGAATTGCAGCCAGTCGCTCTCGTTCATGCGTGTGGCGTCAAGTTTGCATATGTTACCGCCTTTAATCTTTATAGTATCAGCAAGTTTGGTATGATTTATGCGAAGCTTATCACAAATTTTGTAACGGCCTCGCCTCAAAATGTATGGTCTTTATAGTTGTCCTGAGTGGCAGATTGATTATACCAACCAGTGCTATTACGTTAAAGCATGGTAAATCGTATGGAAACTGGGGGTCTGACTGTTAACAGGAGGGACTAGTTTTTGTTTTTCCGACGTTTGCCGGCTGATAATAACAGATAATGTATTATTCTCTAGCGTTTTCGGTGGATTTTGAATGGCAGATAGCACCTGAAAATTTTTAATCTTTGGCCATTTTACTTACGAACTTAAAATGTCGTAAATTTTCTTTGAAAATCTCTCAAGCTTTTCTTTTTCTTTTCTTTTTCTTTTTCAAGAATTTCTAATTGTGTATCTAAGAATCAAAAAATCCTATAAAATTATTTATATTTCGTTAAAGGGCTGCAGAGAAAAACTAGGAAAATTGGTTCTCCTGCTAAAATCCTCCCGCCCCGCAACAGCCCAGAACCCGAAAGGTGTAATTTATATTAGCCCGGTAATTATTTAGAATGGCGCTGCGCAAAACCTACCAGCAAGCCCCGTTCAGCTGCTAAGGACGCGCGGGGCGGTGATCTGTCTTGATCTACTCCGTACCCGGAGTCCGATTTGTCAACTGGTCAGTTATTTTAATTTCAAAAGATATTTTCAAAGATTAACAATAATAATATTTGAGCTATGAAAATAACAACTCGTTATCTGGACTTTGGTAATATACGTAGCCTGGCAGAACTGCGGTAAAGCCAATACGGGGGCTATAATTGAGAGGCGCCCTTGGGCCACGATGGGCAGAGGAGGTAGGTATCGAAAAATTGGAATTTGATTTTCGTAGCGGTGGGGTAATCGCTCAGATATAAAAAAGCTCACAAAACAAAATAATAATTTTCGAAAATTTTGACTTTCGTGTCAAAAATTAATGGAAAAGTCAGGTCATGGATCCAAAAACTTGAAAAATTGGAATTTTTTAAACTTTCGAGCAGTCGAAACTACTACAAAATATTCAGGCAATGTAATGATGATGTATTTTTTGACATAGAAAGTAAAAACAAAATTTGCGTTCTGGCTAACCTCCTCGGCTAATAGCCCTTTAGTACTGGGGTTATATGGGCACCAAAACAATACTTACCCTTCGGGGGAAGTCCTGAGTTGGTCTGACGGTTCTTCGACAACCTTTCAAACAGGCATTGATGCGCAATTCGAAAATGCGTTCGCTGGTCGCGGCCGTCCTTAATTAGTTTTTGTTAATTTTAAGTTTGGCAGAATTCATCAGATTGTAGGTTTTGATTTCATACTGCATCAAAAGCCCTCGACTCTCATTGCAAGCTGCCACTCTTCATGCATTCTGGCGGATGACTTCTCTCACCGCGCGCGAGCTTGGCTTCAGGTAACAGCCGTAGGGGGACTAGTTTTCCCGTTTCCTAGTACGAACTTTCTATCATTGCGCCCCGCTAGATAATGCAAAGAACCATTAGTTGCGGCCCATAGCCTGGATTTGGTTTTTTAGAGCACAGCCTTTATAGCAAGCAGTAATGAGGTTTCATCTGCAAAGAGACACGCCCTGCAGACATTGAAAATCGGAAGCAAACGTTCGGGGCTGATCAATTTGGCAAAATAACATTCTCAATAAAAATTCTCATTAATTGAGGAAGTGAGGCCTTTGTAATGGTGTGTACGTTCAAAATACATAATGAAACACCTGAGATCACATTTTTCGGGGTTGAAAGGGTTAAATGATTGGGGAATGATTTCTACATATTCAAACCACACCTGAGTTTGAAAACCAGCATTTGCAAGTCAAACCAAGCCGGTTTGAATAATTTTAAACTGGTTTGAATAAAACACACCTAAACAGTTTTGTTCTCGGCATTTCAGCACTTTTGCAAAGTTTCAGCACCAATCCTTTGGCAAAAGTGAGGGCCACTTAGTGAATCAAGTCTTGCATGGGGCCCCAGCCTATCTTGTGTAAAATCGGTCAAACCAGCTGATTCAAAAAATTATGAAGGAGATTAAAGGCGCGAAAAAGGCAAAAAGATAACAATTTGGTTAAATCAGATTCTTTTCTGCCCTGTTCTGAACCTCTTTGAATCTGGTCCCTTGGCGGATTTTGAAACCAGCTATGCAATGAGCGCAATGTTCGCAATGTTGTGCTTGGTCCCGTACTGAACTCGATTTTCACTAAAAATATCTCTGGGCTATTGGTAAGCTCGAGCTTGGCACCGAAAACCTTCAGTCTTTTGCTTATTTGTGTCTAGTGATAAGCCTCGCAGGGTGGCGGCAAATGTGGGTATGAAGCGCTGTCGCTGAATGTGGTTACCATCAGCAACGTTTTTTGGGCCCAAAATCAAGTGGTTATGGTAATGGTAGCGGCAGGCACGGTGTCTTTCCGTTGCCAACAAACGCTGCCGGTTTGTCGAGCGATGGGCTGGGGTGTGGCGGATCGTGCCTTCAGCTAATCGGCTATGTCCCCGATTGCGATATTTACTGTTGGCTGCGCGCGGGCGCCATGGGCCCAGCGCGAGCGCTTTGGTCGCCGATCTCAAAACGGGATGCGAAGCGGTACCATCTCCTGCTGTTGCCGGCTTCATCGCTGATCGGTGATCCGGAATGCCCGCTTTTCACAATTTCATGACAGCGGGGTCCCGGAAGACGCATCCCGGTGAATTCAAGGGCCACTGGCAAATTCGGCAGAGTTATGCCGTCCAGGGCTGAACAGCAGTGAAGTGAGCTGGGAGTTGAAGCTGATGTTTCGTGAGTTTCGAAGCCTCGTTCCGATTTCCGCCTTGAGCCGGTTTCGAAAGAGAGCGGGAGCTTCGAATCCCGCTCGACCTCGAACCGGATTCTGAAAATCAGATATTGAGTGCATTTGAAAATGTTATGTCAAAATAATCTGCCTTTATTGGAATTTTGGGAGAGTCTTTGTACAAGCAACGATCCTATAGCATCCTGTGGGGGAGCAGGGTCCCGTTCCCCGTTTCTGCTCAAAAGAGCGGCTCTCAAGAGTTGAACCGTTCGGAGCGGAAATTTTCAGCCCCGCTCGGCTCCTGCTCTGCTCAGGCCCTGGCGCAGCCTTCACTCAACGATCAAATCCTGATGTCGTCCCTGAAAATGATCATACATTTTGTTCCGGTGTCCGGTCCGCCCTGCGGAATTCAGCTCGAAGGGGGAAGGAGTTCGCTTCGACCACCTGGTCAAGTCACCTGGCCCACCCGGACCAACATCATCAAAAGCAAAACTCAAAAATGGCCTTTAGTGGGTGAAAAATTGATTTTTCGGTTTGCGCGATTTTGGACATGGCGAGAAAGGTAGCGCCCGGGTGGGTGGAGCAAGGGGCGGAAATTTTTCACCGGAGCGATTCAATTGTCGGCCGTTGTTTTGGTTTTTGCTGGAAATTTGGATTAGTGGGTGTATCTGAAGCGATCAGTAAGGTATCTCAGTAGTTTTCAAACGGGTTTCCGGCAAGGGGAGTGTGTTCCTTTAAAAATGGCAAAGAAATTTTTGCAGCCTACTCTTTTGCCACGGCTGAAAGTTTGTGTCGAAGTGATGGCGGTCACTTGACTTCGATCCATTCCGCCTTCGAAAACAACCTCATCATAGCGTCGGCCAAAAGAGGTACGTTCGTTCGAAGATTCGCGTACGCGATTATTAGCCATCGTTGTTGAGCCCAGCTTGCGCGCTACAAGATCTGAGTACTTTAGTGCGGGATTCGGGGAGGATGTGGCTGGGACTGAAACTTCCCGATCCGACATCAACAACGTGGAGTTGGCAAGACGGCACGTCACTTGACTATGAGAATTGGGGGCATATAGCCACCTCTGATCAAGGCCTATGCGCCTCGATAGATCTGACGACTGGAAAATGGTACGCCACCCCCTGCAACACGACGCTCTACTCGATATGCGCCATCACCTTTGGTACAACCGTTTCATCGATTCATGATCAGCGATTTCAGGTTGCCCGTCGGGCTGGCAGTACTTTTCTGACACAAACCAGTGCTACTATGTAAGTTTGTTTGCTTTTAGAATTATTTTGCGCAAAAATATTTGGGTATAACCATGACAATGCGCAAACGCGCATGATTTAATCGAACCGTGAAAAGCGACATCGAGCTAACGCCGGTCCAAACTTTATCAAGCTTTACGAAACAGTGTTTGCAATGCCTTTTTAGCGCGTTTCAAGGGTCATGTATTTTAGGGCGGCGTTCGTTGAAATAGCGTCTTTTTGCGATTCACTCAATGGCGCTCGGGTAATTTTCATGGTCCCATCCTCATTTTTCAGGCCGGAACAGAGGGCGGCAGTTACAAATATGCTAGGCTATACTGTCAAAAGACCCCCGGGGGAGACCTGGCCTCGATCCACAGCGAGATGGAAGCCCAGTTTGTCGCCCGTTAGTTTTTTCCGTTGCAGATATTTTTTTAAGGGAGAGTATGATGATTATCATAGATACTTATGAGTAGTTTAGGAAAAGTGGCCTGGCACGACTGCGGAGAGGGTCCCTATGGAAAAAAGTATGGCGAGGCACTTCTGGGAGGCGTCTTTTGGAACGGAAGTCAGTTCATAAAACATTTTATGCAATCAACGATAGGTTTTCACGAGCATTAAATATTCAGAGATATCGTCGTGGTCGGATGGCAGCCCCGTCGACTATAGCTATTACGTCTGGAGGCAACACGATGGTGTGCTGCTGGTGAGTGCGGCCGCGACGCATGACCTTTCGCTCCGGTTTTAACGTGAAAAGTTTGAACTTAAAAATGACGTTTTTTCTCGAATCCTCACCAAATTCTTGGTCATTCGATTTTGGGCCATACAGG